CATCACCTCATCTGCATCCACTCGGATGGATTTCAGCTTTGAAAAAAGTTTCTTTGGTTTTGTTTCAGGATTTGGTGTGGTCTTGGATTCCAGCTTAATAAAAGCATATTTGGACTTTGGAGAGAGAGGTCACCCAAGACCCTGAAGACAAGTCACTCAAACGAGCTCCTTACTCACCATCCTTGCAGTGGCATGCTCAGTGTGAAGAAGTGTTCTCAGTCTGTGTCCTTGGGACTGTCCACGTGGAAATGTGCAGTCACAGTGCCTCACCCGGCATGCAGAGAGACCTCCCACACCCAGGGCTACCTGGTACTGTTCCTTCAGCTCTGAATCAGATCAGGGAGACATTGCCCATGGATAACCAGTCCTTGGGAGCCTGGCGAGGTGGCTGGTGTGCAGGGCAGCCTCCTTCCTTCCTGTAGCCAGCCCCCCCCCCGCCCCCCCTGCTGCTCAGGCTCCAAGACCCTTTCAGCACCAGGCTCAGTGGCCCTCGGCTTGCAAAACGAGCATCAGCTCACTGGAAAACCGCTTCTGAACATAGAGCTTGTTAAAGTTTTATTTCTATTTTAATTGTGATAAAAAACCACAAAATTTACTATCTTCACCATTTTTAAAGCATCCAGCTCTGTGGCATGAATCACATTCACCATGTCGTTCTTCCGTCACCACTGTCCATCCTCAGAACTCAGTCTTCAAGCAGAATTCCCCCATTAAGCACTAATTTCTGACTGGTGATGTGGCTCAGTGGCAGAGCACTTGCCTGGCACACACAAGGCCCTGGGTTTGATCATCAGCACCAATAAAACAAAACCCAGTGACTCTCCACATCCCCCCTCCCCAGGCCTTAGAAGCCACCATTCTTTCTGTCTTTATGTGTTTGAGTAGTCAGGGTTCCTTATATAAGAGGAATCTCACAGTGCTTATGTTTTGTGACGACTGGCTTAGCATAATGTTTTCCGGGTTCCTCCATGTTGTAGCATGCATCAGAATTTCCTTCCTTTTCAAGGCTAAATAATATTCTTCTGTGCTTTGTTTAACTATTTATCCATTGTTAGACACTTGGGCTGCTTTTGTTTTTTGGTTACTGTAAATAATGAACAGAGTTGTACCAATATCTCTTCAATCCCTTCTTTCTTTTTTTTTTTTTTAAAGAGAGAGAGAGAGAGAGAAATTTTTTTTTAATGTTTATTATTTTAGATTTCAGCAGACACAACATCCCTATTTGTAATGTGGTGCTGAGGATCGAACCCGGGCCGCACGCATGCCAGGTGAGCGTGCTACCGCTTGAGCCACATCCCCAGCCCTCAATCCCTTATTTCAACTCTTTGGAAAGAAGAATTACTGGATCATGTGGCAGTTCTATTTTTAATTATTCTATTTTATTTTTTAGTTGTTGATAGACCTTTATTTTATTGTATTTATGTGCGGTGCTGAGAATTGAACCCAGTGCCTCACACATGCCAGGCAAGTGCTCTATCACTGAGCCACAGCCCCCACCATTTTTAATTTTTTTAAAATAATTTTTTAGTTGTTGATGGAAGTTTATTTATATGTGGTGTTGAGAATCAAACCCAGTGCCTCACACGTGCCAGGTAAGTGCTCTATCACTGAGCCACAACCCAGCCCTCTGTTTTTAATTTTCCTTTTTGGTACTAGGAGTGAACCCAGGGTCACTCTGCCACTGAACTGCATCCCCAGCCCTTTATATGTAATATTTGAGATAGGGTCTAAGTTGCCCAGATTGGCCTTGAAATTGCAATCCTCCTGCCTCAGCCTCCGTGTTTGCTGGGATTACAGGTGTGTACCACCACACTTGGCTGTTTTTAATCTTTTGAGGAAATTCTACACTGTTTTCCATAGCAGCTGCACAATTTTACATTCCCACCAACAATGCACAAGAGTTCATCCACACCAACACTTGTTATTTGTTTTTGTTTTTTTTTTTTGGTCTGCAGTTCCCCGAATAAGAGAACATTGTTTCATGTGCTTATTGGCCACTTGCATATCTTCCTTGGAGAAGTGTCTATTCAAGTCCTTTGCCTACTTTCTAATAGGTCATTTTTTGTTTTTGGGTTGTAGTTCTTTATATATCTAGTCATAGGTACATGAATATATATATATATATATGCATATTCATAGATATGCACAAACATGGACATGCACATATTCTGGCAATCAGGAGGAACAGGGAAGGGTAACTCACTGGCTCAGGAGAACCAATTTTTCTCCTTCTCTCTTCTTTGGCTTCTCTGTGAAAAACCGTCACCATCCTGAAGTCACTTACTTGTTCCAGCCCCTTCAGACCTGCGTTCTGCAGAATCCCACCATTGACCTCTGCTGACAGTGTCCACCTGCGAGAGCAGAACGTGGCCCTGCACTCAGACTGGGCATGGGGTGGGGACCTTGGCCAAGTTACTTGGTCCCTCTGCACATTTGTGTCCCCCTGTGGAGGAGGGCTGATAAGGACAGCAAGGCACTTGGAAAGCCTGCTGGGCCTGACACGAGAGTGCTCAGTGTCTTTAGCCATTGTTAGAATTAGCATCTCTGCTTTCTTTTGGCTCAAGGAAGCCCTGTTGAGCCCTTGGTTCGTCTTGGTTAAGGTAGGAAGTGGCACGGTAGCAACGTCCTGTCCCCAGGGGCAGCACTGCTCAGACTTGGGTACTTACCACACCTCTGCATGTTCTTACACATTTACAACCCATGCAACCCTAAGTGACACGTAAATGACACGTTAGCACCTGCTCCACCAACCCAGCACTAAGTGCCTTTTTTTGGGGGTGTGGTGCTGGGGATGCACACGAGCAGGCGCTCTGCCACTGAGCTGCACCCCAGCCCCCTACGGTGCTTTTTGTGAGGCTCCAGCTTTGTATGAATGCATCACTCGGTACGCGTCCCTGCTCTTCACTCAACGGCAAGCTCCTGAGAGTTACTCGTGTTGGTGTCGGCTGCTGGAGGCCATGCATTTTTAACTGCCTTTAAGTATTCCCTGGGTGAGTGTATGACGTGTCCATCTCTAGTCAGTGGACATTTGGCCCCTTTTCAATTTATGAGCACTCTTTCTCCCCAGGCCTCATCTTCGTCCTCACTGATGACTGAGCACTTACTGGGTATGATGCACCAGGCCAGCTGCACTCCTCCATGGGCATCATAGGAGGGAGCAAAGTCCCTCATCGAGTTCACGTGGAAAGAGGCCAAGGGTGGATTCCGCCCGGGGCTGCCTGTCGCCGAGGTTCCCCTGCCACTCTGCCTCTCCAGGAACAAATGCCCAGTGTGACACCGAAGGGCATGTACAGGCCCCTCAGCTGGCTCTGCTGAAGTCTCTGGCATGGACCTGGGCCTCTGGAAGGGCAGGGTGACAGCTGCAGCGCAGGGGCCCATCTTGTCATTGGAACCATGTGGCTAGAGATCAGTGCTTTGAATAAGCTTCCGTTGGTTCAGACCCTTCCCCTCAGGACAGAGCACCACTGGAGACCCCTGGGGAAGAGCCACTGGCTTCCTCTGGGCTGCTCTAAACAGAGAATAGGACCTTGGCCCAGTGCAAGGTGCCACTCTCATCTGCTCTTGGTTGGCAGTGAGGGAGGAGGGAGACAGAAGTGATGGAAAGCCAGGACAGAAGGATGTCAGAAAGAAATCAGAGACTAGAGAGCTGTCCCCTGGGCTGCAGGAACAGACAGCCCTGGGGAGAAAAAGCAAACAGGATCTACTTTGCTTTAATGTGAACTTAGTTTTAGAACAATTTAGAATTTAAAAACTCCAATCTTGGATCTTATTCTATGGCGTTTTTGTTCCTGGTGAAGAAACGACTGACAAAGGGTGTCAGATCCCCCCAGGAGAGTGAGCTTTGTGAGTTTCTGCACCTCTCTGGGCCTCAGCTTCTTATCTGTAAACTGGGAGAGGACCCATCTAAGGACAAAGTTTGTGAGTGGCCTGGTATGGTTGATAAACAGTTGTTGTCATCGTCACTTCCTTACAAGGCAGGTCTCACCAGGGATATGGCAGTACAGATTCTAGCAATCAGCCTCGAGTTGTTAAATTTCTCCATGTTATGCAGGTGCCTTTGTCCATATTCTGTTCCTATAATGAAATATGTGAGGCTGGGTAATATACGAAGAAAATGGGTTTATTTAGCTACCCATTTTGGAGACTCGAGGGCATGGCACTGGCCTGGGATCAGCTCTGGTCAGGACCTCATGGCTAATAGCATCATGGTGGAACACTTGAGTGAGCTCATGGCAAGACAGGAAGTCAAAGTCCTAGGAGGGGAATAAGAACCCCACTGATTCCTTCCCAGGGCAGCACCCTTTCACTGCCTAGTTATTTCTCACTAGCCCCCAGCCCCCCACCCAGCTCTGGCCTCCCAGCTCCGACACACTGAGGACCAGGGTCCCAACACGTGAACCCTTGGCACGAGCTCAAACTCTACCCAAACCACAGCAAACAGGGTTTCAGAGGCCCAAGGACAAAAAAGTGGAAACACAAGCTCCTTCAAAAGGCTCCACTGCCCTGTGCCCGGCATTCCAGCAGACTTCCCTTGTGACCCTGACTCTGGTTTCAGGGTCGAATTACAAGCTGGACCAACCTCACTGAGGTCTTGGGGGGGGGGGCGGGTCCCAAGCAAGTTTTAAGACCTGCCAGACCTGCACCAGATTCCAACCTGGAAGCAGGTCATCACACGCATGGGCTAGGAGCAGGGGACAGTGACACTGGTGAAGGGATGCCCTGAATACAGGGGCACCATGCTGGAGTGGCATCTGATCCCTGCAGTGTCTGAGCAGAGGCGTCTGCAGAGGGTGGGACAGGGAAGGACTGCTTCATTTCTAGGCAGTGCCGAGGCAGCTCCGTGGATTGTCCCAGAATCTGAGATGGCTACAGACCTAATGCAGGCAGCAGTGACCTGGATCTGGAAGGCTTCGAGCCACAACATGGGGTGGTGGCCTCCTCTGCACGACCATCGTGCAGCCTTTCTCCTTCTACTCCCCAAAGTAAAAGCAGCCCGGGGCCCTGGACAGCAGCAGTGGGCGCTGATTCTTTATTTATTAGACTCAAGTGCTTCAGTACAGAACGGTACGGAGGATACATGTTTGTGCTTCAATACTTTCAAACACTGAGATTCTGATAATTTCAAGGTAAACAAGTTTCAAGACAGACTAGCTTTTTTTTTAAAATATCCTTTTGATAAATTATTTTTTATATAAATAACAGAGAAAGGAAAACCAACATGTTTGACAAACAAGGTTCTAAAGCGTGAGCGTTGCTTGGTCGGAGGGAGGGGACAAAACAAGCGGGGACCGTAAGAAACCAACCAGCGCAGGTCCTAGGGTTCTGTCCTAAGGAGGCAGGATCTCAAGGGGAGAAGGCGACAGGAGACCTGGGAGCTAAGTAGAGTGCACAGGAGATTCCAGAGCCAGCAGGAGAGGACACCACAGTGACAGTGCGTCCAGGACTATTCTCCAAGGAAGGCGGGCGGGCGGGCGGGGCAAGCGCACATCACGTTTGCAAGGACGTCACGAGACACAGTAATATACACACAGTCTGCGGGAGGCAAGGGCGGCGAGGGCCGGGGCAGGGGACATTTTTTGTGACTTCCACTGTCATTATATTTCACGACAACAGCAGCAGAACGACGTGTGCTCGCTCCTGAGACGGGAGCTGCCGAGACCTGGGGACGGGCGCACCTCCAGCACCTGCTCTTCCCCTCTGCTTCATAGCGACACCATTGCACAGGAGAAAGACGATGGGCCTCTCACAACCACGATGACATATGACTACACATCACTCAAAATAAAGTACCACAAAGTATCTTAAACTGAGGACAACCTGACAAGGCTGCGTGTGGAGTGGGGACAGCGTCAGCATCAGCTCGACGGGCCCTTCTCCACGGCTGTCAGGAACCACCTGTTCCAGTCCAGTCCTGACCTTGAACTCAACCCAGGCTGATCCTTCTGGGGAACAGGAGCTGTGAGGGGTGATGCCCCAGGCAAGGGACCTGGTCAGTGTGTCAACCCTAACTGCTTCTCCGTCTGGGGAGGAGTCTGCTTTTCATTGTCTTGTGCATAGTGACCTAGGCTGGGAAGGATCTTTCTCAGGGTCACACAGTGTGGCCACAGGCCTGGGGAAGCAGGGCCACACTGTGGAAGACACCAGGGGACACCCAGCCTGGCCTCATGGACACTCTCCAGCCCCACCCACAGCTGCATCTCTGGGGCACAAGCTGGGAGGGAAAGCAAAGAGCCAGTTCCATCTCAACTTTGTGAGGTGTCTGTCCCCTGATTGTCATTTCCCAGCTTATCTGGATGTGAGCAGACACCGAGGGATAGGAACAGGAGAGGAGGTAACAGATTAATCCTCAGTGTGAAATACCTGAAGGACACAGACGGCTCTGTGATTCCCAGCAAGAACAGGAAAAACCCAATACACATTTTTAAAAGACCCAAACTTCTACCTTTCCGTACTCGAGCAGTTTGCACGCGACGAAGGTGGCTATGTACAAGGTCACAGGATCATAAATGAGGGGGAGGAGTCCATTCATTCTCAAGAATTCCAAAATTTCTGCAGCTTGCACAGGAACTTCTTGTAGGATACATATATATCTTTTTAAAAAACACAATGCATTATTCTCGGTTCACACTGGAGGAGGGCATCATTAAACACGAGCAGTGCGGGCCGGCCAGGGCGTGCAGGGCGGGGAGGCAGCAAGACACCGGCCTGCGCTAGGGGCTCAGAGCAGTGGGAGGGCGCGGCTTGGAGGGGCGGCTTATTGTTTAACTGCTTATTTCTTCTTCTGTTTTATTCAGTTTCTTCAGCGTGTCCAGCAGTTTCTGTGGGGTGAGAATGTGCGTGGATCCTGGGGAGGCAGAGAAGACAGTGAGCTCACCCGCTCTAGCTCCCCATCCTCCTCTCCTGCCCTTCTCCACGCCCAGATCTGCACCCATGCACCTCCCCCACCCTGGTCTAGGTCCATGGAAGCCGGGAGGGGGCTGGGGCTGGACGTCTAGGCCCCTGTCACAGGAGGCCAGGGAGACAGCGAGGGCTGTGGCGAAACAAAATGCATCATCTGGCTCAGCAGGTCCCAGGCTGTAGCAGGGAAAGAGCCACCTCTCCTCAGAGCCAGCACCAACTGTCAGGTGACAGGGTGGCGGCATGTCTCAATCTCAAGGTGAGGCCAGGGAGAGAAACTCCAAATGACTTGGCCACGGGAAAAAGTTGAGAATGGCTGGGGTTGGCAAGGGTCTGTGTGTGCCTGGTCGCAAGGACATGGGTGGGGTGCACTGACCTCGGAGCCAGCTGATTGGCGCTGCCTGCCGGGGGTGGGACCTCAGGTGTGAGGGAAAGGGCGGGGACCTGAGGCCTTACCTTGCAGAGACCGCACATTGTAAGAGATTAGAAATGCTTGCAAAAGTTTAAGCTAATGGAATTAGATATATTTCTAGTGCAAAACTAAAAATAAATAAATAAATAAAAATTTAAATAAATAAAAAAATGAAGCCCTTTTTCATAAGGAGAGAAAGAGATCTAATAAGTGCAGTAAAAAATGATGCATGGATCGTGTGGTTTGGCCATGGACTTGATCAAACAGAACAGAAGTAACTGGGTGACGTGTGAGCATGAGACCTGCCACATGCAGCAGTGGACTTCAAAGAAAGATCCTGGTGGGAAAGAACTAAACAAAAGAGGTTGAAAATGTGCCTCCCTGGAGACCTGGGCAAGGGAGGGCCTCATGGCAGAGGAGGAGCGGAAACACAGGAGCCAGATTTCCATTTCAAGGGCAGGCAAAAGTGGACTGACTTCTGGCTGTGCCTCCACTAGGGTGCCGCTCACTGCTGCTGCGCTGACCTGGAGCTGTGGGAGCTGGGGGCTTCCCTGGTGGGTCTAGAGCAGCAGGAAACTTGCAACACTCTCTCTGGTGTGAGAGAAATTTTCAACATCCTGCTCTCTGAGGTCCAGGCCCCAGGCCCCACTCGCTGCTCTGGGTGAGGAGCCTGTCCTCGGTTACTTCCCAGGGATGCAGAGCGTGATGCCCTGAGCACGCAGCCTGCCCTGGCCCCTGCGCTCTCTGGCTGACTGCTATCTAGCTGCAGGCCTGAGGCTCCTCGAGCAGTGACACCCTGGGTGTTTCTACAGCACCCCTCCCCACATTCACTGTGGGGCGCTTAGGAATCTTTTACTAGTCCTAAAGGAGCTCAAAGGCAAAGGGGAGAAAGGACAGAAATGTTTTGAGGCTTGTCTCCAATTCTGAAGCAGAAACAGTTGCCAGAATGAGGGCCTCCAGATCCCAGCTCCCCGCGGCCAGCCGTCATGTCTGGATGTGAAAGCCAGTGGACTGGATGCAGCACCGGAAGCACTAGGGTTTCCTGCGTGCACCTGCCAGAGAACACTGTCCCCAACGCTCTGCTCCCCAGCCACCCAAAAGGGTTCCAGGAAACAAGAAGGCAGACTCGATTCAAGGACAAATTCAAAGGGGTTCCTTTGATCAGATGCCGATCCGAAAGTGCTCCCCACTGGTTTATAAGCAGATTAGGATTGAGCAGGGACTCCTGCTGTAGAATTTTCTGACATTATCTGATCACTGAGCATTCCCAGTCTTGACTGAAGAACAACTCTAGGACTTAGCCTTGGGGACAGCCCATGAGGCCACTAAGGTCCTAGCAACAGGCCCATTCCTGAGCCTTCACTTACTGGTCTCTTTAAAGGGACTAGGCTGGTTGGCATTAATCCAAATCACCTGGAAGCCAAAGCCTGATGTGCAGGGCTCTGCATGGTTCTAACAATGTCCACCATGAATGCTACCAACAACTGGGGTCCCTAAGTCACATGTTCAAATATTCTCAATTTGAACCCATTGGTGGCTGACCACACAGCTCTCCAGAAGACAGTAGCAGGTGGGTTCACTGCTCTGAGGGTCCCTTCTGTTCCATGTCACAGGATGACTGTGAAATGTGAGCAGTGGTTTCCTAAGCCCAGCGGAGGCCTAATCAAATGTTACCCCCACATTCCAAAGCCACAGGCCAGACACGGCGAGCTGTGACGGGAGAAGGTCTTTCCCTCCACACGGATGGGGTCTGACACCAAGAGTTCTCAGACTAGCTGGTCTGGCTGTCCCTGCATCAGCCTGGAACAGATCTACTGACTTGGAATACCCAGGAAGGCGCCTGAGGATGGGCACATTTAAGGGCAAGCAGGTGAGCTGAGGTTCCAGGGCTGGGGCGGTGACCAGCCCACACTTTCAAACATATGTGGCAAGAAGGAGGTCTGAAGGTGGGCTGGTAGCATGGCAGGGCCTCTGGTCTTTTGATTCTGGGCGCCCTGGGGCTCCTGGGAGGGGAGGGGACGTTCGAGTGATGCTTAACAGCAGCTGGGCTCTGAACCAGGTCCAGACCTGAGCCCTGCTGTCACCTGCCCCCAACCTAGAGAAACAAAGGATTCAACATAAAACCACAAGCAGTACATGCAAGCCAAGGGGTCCAGCCTAGCCTGAGAGCTCTCCCATTTGCTTCTCACAGCCTCCTGCATGTCCCCTCAGGAGTGGTATTTTAGCCTAATTTAACTAAAGAGATGGAACCTAATCAAAAGATGTCATTTGTGGACAGCTTAGAGGCATGATTGGGCGACTGCGAGGAGCCTCGGTGGACCTGCACTTTTGCCGTCCACACTGGCTCCCTGTGATCCAGACCTGGGGAAGGTGCTTCAGTGACAGAAGAGAGGACAGAGTGAGGTACTGTCACTGTGCACAATGCCTGCTGGGGGTATCTCAGTGCTGGGCAGGCGGAAACTCATCCCTCTTAAAAGATAGACCAACACAAAACTGGTATGGAGGAGTGAACTCAAGCTCACTGGAGGCTGCGTTGTCTGCAGGACAGTAGGAGGGCAGGTCAGACTACCTGCTCCCTGACCTCTGACCTTGCTGGTACCAGGTTCTGTGTTTTGCTGCTTTTTTTTTTTCTTTTTTTTTGGCGGGAGCGGGGATTGAACCCAGTGGTGTCTTCTACTGAGCCACCTCTCCAGCCCTTTGCATTTGTTCTTGTTTTGAGTCAGGGTCTCACTGACTTGTTGAGGGTTTTGCTAAGTTGCCCAGGAACTTTCAATCCTGTCTCAGCCTCCTGAGTCACTGGGATTGAAGGTGAGCGCCATCTTGCCTGGGGCCTCACCACTCCTTAGCTGAGCTCTGTAAAACCCCAAACTGTCTGGCAAACTATTTCAAAAGCCAAGAATATATAACTAGAGTCTGTCTACGCCCACTCTGTGCTGACGGCAGCTGGCCCTCTCTGGGGTCGTGATGGAATGTCAAGGAAAGCTTCTGCAAAGGAAAGGCTGCTTCTTCAGGAGCTAGAGAGAGGTGTGGTGCGATTCTTTTAGGTCCTACAAGTGTTCTGCTGTCAAACATTTGGTGTCCTTCTGGAAGTCTTCAAATATATCTTGCAGCAAATGTCACACACCTGCTTGCCACCTGCACACAGGCCGGGCGCCTGATCTAACAATCATCGAGCTGCTTCTAGGGAATATTCTCTCTGCTCCCTCCCTCCCTCTGTTCCTTTCTAACAATTGCTTTTATCCCTACCTCCCCACATTGGCCTTGCTGTCTAGAGGAAGGTGAGCCCAGGAATGATGGGGGCCAAGGCCAGGGCTGTCACCAGCTCCCTGACCTGGCTACTAGCTGCTGCACTCAGCTTTTGGCTCCCTGGAGCGTGCCAGCCTCTGCCAAGGAGAGGGAAGAGGAGGAGATAAGTGGTGGCCTCTCTTCCTCCCTTCCAGATACAGCTCCATTTTCTTTACGTAAGTGAGCATCTTCTGATGTCACCAAGCCAAGGTTCTGAAGGGCCATTCTCCTGACACTCACAAGAAAGAGCACTGACTGAATTACCACCGCCAGAGCCTAAAGGAGCCTGGGGTGCTGCAGTTCATTCCCCCTTGTGCTCATATACAGTGGCTTGGGAACGGGGGTGACCACCTCTGTCACACAGGTACTCGTGGAGGAGCAGAGCTGGAGTCCACTTCTGGCTCTCAGCTCAGGTCACTCTCCACTGCTTACAGGACTCTGTTCCCTGACTCACGGGGCCATGACTTGGCTCAGGGCAAAGGGTGTCTTCAGAGCCCATGGTCAGTGGAGTATCAAAGTCAGGGACACAAAAGGTACCTATCCCTGATCATCAGCAAGGATGCAATACTAATGCTGGGACAGAGGGCTTGTGATCAGTCTGCCACTTCCACCTAAACACATTATCGGAGTTTCCTAACAGTGGAGGGTGGAAAGTAGAAGGAATGAGGACAATGTCAAAAATTTCTCTCTCTCTCTTTTCGTTTTTTGCAGTACTTGATATTGAACCCAGGGGTCCTCTACCCATGAGCTACACCACCAGCCCTTTTTATTTTGAGACAGGATCTTGCTAAGTTCCTTGAACTGGCAGTCCTCCTGCCTCAGCCTCCCTAATCGCAGAGATTACAAGCATGCGCCATCACACCCAGAATGATGGTGTTCTTTAAAGCCCCACAGAGCATCAAGAGTGAATTTCTCCAAAAAGGCTCCAGACCTTACCAAGACACATCAGAGAAGAGAGGGTATAATTATTTGATTCTCCAAAGATCCACAGGGGAATTTCTTTCTTAGCAATTGGCTATAAAGTTCCATTTCAGCAGAGGAACGTGAGACAGAAGTCTTTCCCACTGGGGACTGGCGTGCACCAAGTGCACGTGCAGCAGCTCATGACCAACCAATAGTTAGCTCTCGTTCAATGGGAAGTACCCGTCTTACGGTACTGGCATGTCCAGAGTCTATTCTAACGCTTCCGGCCAAGCCTTTCTCACCAGCAGGTGCCCCTGGGTCTCCCGGGAGATCTGCCTGCTGGACATGGCCCCTGCCTCGGGTCCGCACTCTCACCCTCCCAAGCCAAGTCACCATCAGGATGCCTACATTCCCCGACGGTGCCCACAGGGCCACTCCTGGGGGCAGGCTTGGCATGCCAAGTGCCCCTCTGCTTTCAGCTCCCTCTCTGAGGACTTTCCTGTGGTCACTGTCACTTTGATTTACACCCAGTGTCCTGCAGCTGTCCAGCTGGCAGCGTGTCACCCAGGGCATGAGTGAGCTGGCAGGTCGGAGCCCCAAGGGCTTCAGGGCAGGGTGCGAGGCACACTGAACACATTTTCAATCGGTGTTAAGAACTGCAAGCATTTTCTTGTTAAAAGAAAATCAAAGAAATAAGAAACTAAAAAGGGGAAAAAAACAAAAACAAAAAAAAAGAGTGACGGAATAATCAAAGAAAACCCTTCAGAGTGGAAGAGTTTCTTTCTGTAATAAGCTGCTTTTACTTTGTTTCTTTGGCTCTCACTCCATTGTTGGAGCCTGATCCTCAAAAGATACCCTAGAGGACTCCCTGAAGTCGGGGTGTCTCAGGTCCATGAGAAATTTGGTGGGAGTAAGAATGTGAGTAGAACCTGCGGGAGAACAGAGGCCAGCTGACTGCTTGAACAAGGTACGTCACAGGAGCATGCCAACTTAGGCCTACACTGTACGCAGCCAATGAGGCGTGAGGAAGCAAGATGCACAGCTTGCGCACACGTGCATGCACACGCGCCCACAGAGGCAAGGTGGCTGGCGTGCAGGAAGCAGTTGAGGCCACACAGCGGACATAGGCTGTCTGCACAAGGCCTCCATGAACCTGCATGGGCGACATCCTAGCCCCAGGCTCCCCCTCCCCTCAGGGAAACTCAAAGCAGGTGCAAAGGGGAAGGGGAATATCACACCCAAAGCCTGGTCGTGACAGCGTCTGTCCAGAAAAGCTGTGTTTGAGCTCGGGATTATCCACACATTCATGCAACACAGGCAAGCAGGGGACAGAGAGCTGATCAGGGGCCTGCACCACAAAAAAAGAAATAATTACAGGGAGGCCTGGTGGCCAGACAGGGAAGCCCAGGGAGCTGGGAGGGTCATGGTAGTGAGAAGGTGGTGGACCCCACCTGGTCCATCTTGAGGAACCCGGGAGCAGTCACACGGACTGGTCTATGGAGCCTGCTCTCTTGGATGGCTTTGGGGGCACTGTGACCTGGCTGCTCCACATTGGAGAAATAAAACTGATACCTGTTACTGAGATACTAACTGAGCCTGGGGTTATGCCCGGTAGTGGGCACCTATGGGCAGAAGTCAGAGAGGCCTTTCCTCTGGGGCAGTTCAGGGTCTCCCCTGCTGCAGTTCACATGTAAGTGGCCCGAGAGGCAGTCCTTAGGCCCTGGAGAGCCTAAGTCCCCACTGGGAGCACAGCACACCCCTTCCTAAGGGTCCAGGTCTCTGACTTCAGGCCTTGCTCAGCACGGGCGTGTTCCCGCTTAGGATGGGGCTTGGCCAGGCCTGTGCACATGGTCACCTCTTGCCAATCAGTGGCAAGAGGGACACCTGGGCAGGGGCAAGTCCATTGTGTTAAGGGCAAGAAGGGACACAAGGAGGGCGACTGGAGAAAGCAAGATTTCTCCCAGCTCACGCTTCCCCCACCAGCCCTAGAAACTGCAGCGGCTCCCGGAGGGGAAGGAGGAGGCCACTGGAGCCGCTGCTTCCTCTCCTAGAAACCAGCATGAGACCCTGGAAAGGCTGCAGCAGCGAGAACCCGGGAAGAGCCAGACAGAGGAGCCCTCAATAGAACCCAGAGATCAGGACAGGGTTCTAGGTGGTATCTTCCCGCAACGTCCATCATTCCCCACTGAAGTAGGGGAGGAAGGCAGTAATTCCCACCTCCTCCGTGGCCTCCAGGCCAAGAGGCTTGACGCTAGGACATTGCCACTCCCACCTCGGGCCCAGCTGGAGGCTGCAAGTGTGGGTGCTGAGCCCTGTGTGGTTGCATAGCAGATGGAGGCTTGGAGAAGGCACGACACTTGCTGCAGGTGACCCCGCTTGGCAGTGGCAGAGCGCATTTGGGCCTGAGTCTGCTGGACTCTCTGATCAGGCACTTTCCACCTCACCACGCAGATGTGAGGAAGGGACAGTTAGCCCCTCAATTTCTGCCACCCAAACGGTTACCTAGGACTATGTCTTGCTGGGGCAGTGCGGAACCTAAGACAGGGTGCGACACCAAAGCGTGGGATGGGTCACAGTGCGATGAGGCAGCTGCTTGCTCCGGAGCCCATGCACTACTCACCTATCAGCACTTCCCACTTGCCGTTGGCCTGGGTCACCTCGTAAGCACAGCGCATCTCGTTCAGGCTCACGCCCCCCAGGATGAAAATGATAAGGCGGGGCCCACTGCGGTACTCCCCTGGGGCCTTGTTCTTGTGCCAGTGCCCGTAGCGGGCGCTGAGAGAGAGAAGAGGAAAGGGGCGAGTGAGTGTCTGTGCACACCAGTGCCAGTGCCGCGCCCAGCACAGAGCAGCCGTCTGATAATTGTTGCTTTCTGGGCTGCAGCGCAATCTCTGAGCCATTGGCTGCACAAAGATCATTACTAGCGTCTTTGTGGTGACACTGTCACTCTCAGACACGTGCGCAGCCGGAGGTTCAGCTCAGGTCAAGTTTAGCAGCTTCACAGGCACAACGTCTGCTCCAGATCAAGTGTGTCTGGGACACTGAGGGCACCGAGCAGCAATGACAGTGTCTGAGGTCTGTCTCCACACTGTCACACGGATCTCCTGGGAAAACACATTCTGCCCAGGGCTCATGAGGATTGGTTCTCCAAGAAAGAGGCCATCCGTGCCCACCTGGGGCCACAGTTTAACAGGTGGGTGGGGGAGAGCAGCAGGTCTGAATGGTGAAGTGACAGAGCTCAGTGTCATGGGGTCAGGTACTGGGAGGCCCAGAGCCTGTCTAGGCTGCATGGGGGAGGGGGAGCCAGAGCCTTGCAGACCTTTGACAGGCCTGTCCCTGCACAGGGACCTGGGAAGCAGGTGGAAGTGGCGGCTGCTAGGACAATAAAACAGGAAAAGTGAAAGGAAGGGCAGAGCCTGCTGGGACATAGCCAGGCTCGGGAGGCACTGCAGGCCCTGCCCAGGCAGGAAGGCCCCGGGGTTCTGTTCCGGCCAACCTAAAACTCTCCGCCTCCCTCCCTGGCAATCTGACACCCCTCGGCTCCCAAGCAGCCTGGCCCCAGCACTGCTTGCCATCAGAGGGGGGGCCAATGCCACAGATGCCACCCAGGTCCTGGGAAGGGGTAAAAATGAAGACAGAGGAGAGGCGGGAGAGAAGACAGCGGGACGAGCATGAGAGGACAGAGGGACTAAGAGCATCTGCCCTGGTAAACCGCAGTCCCCAGCGTCAGATGCCCTTTCTGGAGCCACTAACAGTGCTGCCACAGCTCGTGTGCTCGGCCCAGACTGTTCTCAGGAGCCTCTGCGTGGACACCCCATGTTCTGGGGGGCCATCAACAGTAGGTGGGCTGTTTCCACACCTGGGCTGTCAGGGGCAGGGCTGCCATGAACCTGTCTACTGACTTTAAACAGGGAGGTTAGGGAAGGCCAGGGAGGCGACTCTTGATGGCTGACCTGAAGAAGACAAGAGCCAACTTGTGGAGACATATAATTTCAGTCAAAGAAAAAAGCATGGGCAAAGGTCCTGAGGCAGAAACAGGCCTAGCTGGTTCAGGGACGAGCAAGGAGGCTGCATGGCCATGTGGAGTGGGCAAGGAGCAGTGGAGGACGAGCCCGTGAGGAGCGGGAAGCCAGGCGGAGCCAGGCTGTGGTGAGGGCACAGCGGAGGGAGGGCCCTCTTGGGTCCTACCATCTCACTGCGACCAGGCGTCTCCCCCCCTTTCCCGGGTCCACGCACCTGACAGCAGTGGTGCTGAAGGAGGCAGAGGAGCGGGTGGAGATGTACGGGTAGTGCTTGGTGTCAAGTTTGTCCTCGATTGTGTCCTGGGGAGAAGAAAGGCAGAGGTCAGGCCTTCCCTGTGCTTGCCAGGGCTGAGGGAACCACCGCTGGCTGAGGAGTGAGCGGCAGAGCCACGGCCCCCCTCCCCCACTGCAGTCCCCAGAGCCACACAGGGCTCCTCAGGGCACGGGCTCCACAGTCAGCTGTGACGCCGACATAGCTGTAGCCCTTCTCTTTAAGTGTGAAAAACAAAAAAGCATTCCTTTTTCTTATTTCTTTCTAGTTTATTCCCTTTTACAATCTGCTGGAAGCTACATACAGGCCTGGTGTCCACTAAATCCCTGGCACTGGCCACCAGGCTGGCGGGGCTTGACCCACAGGGCCTCTACTCTTCTCAGCACTGACTGACTGGTAGGTGGTTCCATCCACCCTCCAGCTGCCCGGGAATCCACACTCCTCCTACCGCCACCTCATGTCTCCCTAGGGGACCAGGGAGGAGGGAAGAAAGGGGCGCAAAGGCGGGAGAGACAGGCGGGTTGATCCGCTCCCAGGAGGAGGGGGTAATTGCTTCTGAATGTTTCTTGCCCACCCAGCTTTTTGTTTCAGGGTTTTAAAAATAGGACCCTGACTCACTCTATTTAAATACACTCATTTTCTCCGTGTTTTATTGGTGTGTTCTAGCTGCACACGATGGCGGCCCCGTTGCTATGGTGCCTGCAGATGACCTCTAAGGCATCCTTCAGCAGAAACCTGGCTGCAGGGAGATGGGCCAAGGGATCCTGGCGAGTCCCTTGCTCTCAGGGCCCTGGTTTAGCTGCCTGTCGAGGACGGAAGTCATGCGGTCTTCTCAGCCTGGAAGACCCAGTGCAGGGCCAGCGCAGGCTTTCCTCCTGCCCGACTGAGAGGAGGGAGTGACGCCGCCCCCACGGCCCTAGCTCGCAGCCCTAGCTCCGTGCAGAGGACGGGGCAGTCCAGGTGACAGGGTCATGGTATAAGATGACCCCAAACTCTGAGCAGCACGTGCCTGTAAGCAGCAGCCCGCACACAAACCGTAGTAGGATCACAGGCCTTGGGGTGGTGCTGGGTGGCCAGACGGGAGGGACGAGATTTGGACACTGTGAGACCACATGGAGTTTTAAAGGACAGCAGGACTCAGGTTGTGGACAGGAAGGGCCAGAGCAGTCCAGGCAAGGCAGTGAGAACAGAGGGCCCAGGAGGAGAGTGGCAGGACAAGAGGCAGGCAGGCCCTTCCCCGCTGAGGCACAAGGTGTGGCACAGCACGTCCTCACTAGAGCGTGTGCACGGCCCTCATCGGATCTGTGAGATGCTATGATGGGTCTACTTGCTTTGTTTTTGTTTTGTTTGGTTTTTGGTACTGAGGATTAACCCAGGGGTGCTTTACTAGAGCAATGTCCCTAGTTCTTTTTATTTTTTATTTTGGGACAGGATCTTGCTAAGTTGCTTAAGGCCTCACTAATTATTGAGGCTGGCCTCAAACTTACAATCCTCTTGCCTCAGTCTTCCCAAGTAACTAGTATAACAGGTTGGGCCTGGCTGCTTCGGACACACACCACCAAGGGGCCTCCAGAGCAAGGAGGCTTAGACCTCCAAGACAGGAACAGTAGGTGAGTGGCTCTTTGGGGTCTACATCTGACAGTCTCCTAGTTCTTCATGATCCCTCAGAACAAAGAAGACCAGGGGGCTGATGGCTCTGGAGGCCTGGAGGTTCATCCTAGTTCTTCATGATCCCTCAGAACAAAGAAGACCAGGGGGCTGATGGCTCTGGAGGCCTGGAGGTTCATCCTCAGGGGAAAACCATGGGGTGTCACTGAACTGACAGCAGGGGATGTTGGAAGCACCTGGACCATCCATTGAAGAGCCCTAGCCCTGGATGTCCCTCCCCACATCCCTACCAGTCACTGACCTCCATGATGTCCTTAATAATCGGGGTCCACCGTGAGAGCTGGTAAGTCTGCTCACTGATGCGCTCCTTCCGCTCCGGCTTGCTCCTGCGGCGCAGCGTGGACTGAACCAAGCACATACAAGATGAGACTGAGGCAGGAGCCACTGGGCCTCGCTAGCCCTGGAACCTCTCCCAAGTTCCTTCTTTAGAGTAGCATTGACAAGGACTTATAAGGGCCAACTTTCCCCCAAAATAGCCCAAGATGGACCCCTTTCAGGAACCTGGAACAAATTTGGTTCTTTGAAGTCATGAAAAATAGCAAATGTGGGTCAAATATATGTCATTAAAAAAAAAAAAATCCAGGTGGTTAAAAAGCCTGCCTGCTCTCTATTAGAGGAGAAAACACCCGCTGGGTTTGACAGCTCTGCACTCCCCGTCACCGGCACAGGTGGGACTCGTGAGTCACCTTCACTCTTTCGATATGTCCTTCCCCCCCACTCCCTGACTGCCTGTCCTCTGAGTGTGAGGTGCACCGGGGTCAGGAGGTGCTGCTGGTTGGCTAGTGAAAGAGCAGACACGAGAGCCCCCCGCCCCGACTGCCAGCCGGCCCTTACATCCGTGACGATGGGCACACCCAGGTGGGCCATGTTGGTGATGATCTCACTGTCCTCTGGGGGGATCTGGGCGTGCTGGATCAGTTTGTTCAGGTTTTCCTCAGTGATGCCTGGGAGCACAAGACACCTGGTCACCGCACCCATCCTGCCCATCACTAGGCTCCAAAGCAGAGCCACTGGCTTCCGTCTCTGAACAGAAAGGGATCTGCCCACCACATCAGTGAGACTCTAAGATGAGGGCAAAATAAGTGTCCCATCTCCCCTGGAGCTAGTAGTGGCAGCGGTGCCCTGTCCTGAGTGATGGCCTCAGCACTGTCCTGGCCGTTTGTCTCTCCCTCTCCTGGCTTTCATCCCTACCCGCCCTTGTCCTGCATCCAAATCGAACTGTCTATGCCCATCTGTTGCACAGTGGACACTTCTGGGCAACTATGACACAGGTACGAATCAGTTCTCTAAAATCAGAGACTGCAAATGGGATGCAGCTAACGAGAGCCTCTCCTCCCCGCTCCCCATCCTGATCTACCTAGTACTCAGGGTCGCCGGGAAACTCAGCCCCTGGGTGCCACTGGTTGGACTCCATCACATTCCCAGACACGAAGATCTTATTTTCCTTCCCCTCCCACGTCTTCTAAACCACTTCTCCACCTCGTGTCCCCTCTTCCAGCCTGTGCCCCTCTGCAGCCCATCCTGCCTACCGTTCTTCAGAAAGATGTAGAGGAGGATGATGCGGATTTTGTCGTAAGTGCTGACGTTCGCATCCAACAGAATGGGGACGATGGCTCTCATGGGGTCCTTGATCTTCTCCCCCTCAGCATCTGTGCCCATCGCCAGGTCCTGTAGGAAACACACCATGCTGACCGTATTTCTGGTGACAGTTTGGATAGATGGCAGTTCACAGAAAGTTCACAGCCATGAACGCCCAGCTCTGTGGCATGATTGGGCAGGTGGCACACAGGCTCCTCTCTAAGCGAGTAGCTGTTAGATGTAGTGTCATCAGCACTGTCTTCAACAGCCTCGGTGAGTGCACCAGAGAGCGCAGAGCTTCTCTTTCCAAAATTAGAAACGCTGGTGATTTGCCACCTGTGTAAAGGTAGGCTGTCCCCTGCAGGTGAGTGTCAGGCCTCGTGCACACGAGGCATAAGCCCTGCTGAGGGGGACGGACTAAAGGAACATGCTCCCTGCCCAGGAGATCTCAGCATCTGGAGATGATTGTGGGCTACGTCTTCCCACTCTACTCCCCGGCACATGAGAATATGCTTTTTGAGTTTTAACTACTCTGAGGTTTTAACCTGTTTTTTTTTTATTATTTATTTATTTGGTATGAGGATTGAACTCAGGGGCACTTGGCCACTGAGCCACATCCCCTGCCCTATTTTCTATTTTATTTAGAGACAGGGTCCCACTGAGTTGCTTAGCACCTCCATAAGTTTGCTGAGGCTGGCTTTGGACTCATCATCCTCCTGCCTCAGCCTCCCAAACTGCTGGGATTATAGGTATGTGCCACTGTGCCTGACTTAACCTCTGTTTTTAATCTTCCTACCATTTTTTGCAAGAATGTGGGGAGAAAGAGGGGCTCCCCAACCTGCGGATCCACTCAGGAAGAGGAAGGAGGAAAGGAGGGCTGACAAAGAGCTACAGATGAAGCAGGGCACGGTGGATATGCCTATAATTGAGTGGCTTGGGAGGCTGAGGCAGGAGGATCACCAGTTCAAAGTCAGCCTCAGCAATTTAGTGAGACATTAAGCAACTCAGTGACCCTGTCTCTATATAAAATACAAAAGAGGGAAGGGATGTGGCTCAGTGGTCAAGTGACTCTGGTTTCAATCCTGGGTACCAAAAACCAAAAAACACATTCAGATAAAAAGATTCGTGAGCACAGTCTATTGCACCCCACACCTCAAGCGAGACACTGTCCAGAGAGCAGCACTTAGCTTCCAGACTGCACCGATAGCCATCTGCTCTAGTCCTTAGAGACATGCTTCCTTTGTAACTCTTAGGAGGCTGCTGGAAGGCTCCCTCCCTCCTCTCAAGATCCCAGGAGCCCATACAAATGATAATCTCAAATTCAAAGTCTCTTTCTGGGTCTGAGGGAGGCAGGACACCCCTCACCTCAGTCCTACCACCAGTCTCAACAGATACCTGCTCAGCAGGACCCACCTCTAGTACCCTCTGTCAGCTCAGCAAAATGAAATCGTCCAACGATACTTTTGAATACATCTCAAAAAAATTTAACCAAAAATTAATCCCAAACTGCACTTTAACTGACCTGGGTACAATCTCCTTTTTGGATGGTCAAACTCTTTTGGAGAAGACATGTGTTTCCTGAGATCCTTTGAGAAACTGACAATGGATTTCAGGAGGGCTGCTTCCTCTTGTAAAACAGCCACTGACACAGGACGGGGCTTACAAACTTGAGCTGAACCTGTGACATCAGCCAGAGGTTCTAAATCTAAGCTTCACCCCGAGAACCTGAGCTGGTATTTTTCTATATTGAGAGACTTTTGGCTGAGGCTTCAGATCTTTGAATGTCCCTTCTCTTCCCTTAGAAGTTGACACACAGGGGCTGGGGGTATAGCTCAGTGGTACAGTGAGCTTAGCACGCAGGGCCCCGGGTTCATTCCTAGCTCCACACGCAAAGAGCACTGTGGACACGCAATTTAGCAATGTTACACTTGAAGGATGGAGTGCCAGGTTTAGGGAGTCCTCTGTATAATTCCCTTAAAAAATGTGTCAGCACTGTGATATCCCTCATGCAATGAAGAAAATAAAGCAGAGAGAAATAGGACAAACAAATAAACCAGTGACAGACTCAAGTCCCAAAGTCCCAGCTTCCAGGCCTAAATGTGATCTGCCAGGCTTTGGGGAGGTCCCGGCCAGCAGCTGCACTGCTGTCTCTTGGTCTTAAGGTCTCCAAAGCTGGTCCGGTCATAGAAGGAGGAAAACACATTCAGAACAAAATTCAGCAGTCCTGCTGATGTAAGGCTCGGAACTCCATAGGTCTCTCTAGAGCCATCCAGGGCAAAGAGGCTCTGGAGAGAGCCAGGCATGCGAAATCCACACGCACGGCACCCCAGACCAGCACTCCTACCCGAGGCAGACGGCACAGCTCCAGAGCCGACCGAAGACCGCAGGCTCTCCCAGCTCTATTCCCTAGGATTCTGCAGGAGGTTCAAGGCCAATGTCAACACGTCAACTGGGTGAAGGGCACACAAGTCTGCCATGCAGAGGGAAGGAGAGAGCCTACCTGCTCTACTCGGCAGAGCTTGTCCACGGTGCCTTGGTAGTGCTTCATGCAGTCCTCGGCAAGGTGCAGGTGGGTGGAGTACTAGGAGGAAGCAGGGAGATTGGTGACCAAGGAATTAATCCCTGATGCACACTCTATCCCTTGAGCATGTAAGTGTCCCGAACACTGGGCTAGGTGCTAAGGAGCGTCCAGACTGACAAAGGAGATACACTGTGCACAAGCAAGCACACAAACATCATGTGTAGAGTGTCACATGTCAGGAGAGAGGGTCGAGCCACATTCTAAGAAAGACCAAAAGTAGAAGGAAAACCCTCTGAGAGGGTAGTGGTGTGCAGAACCTTGACACCCCCGGAGGGAGCCCGATTCCCTCCTCCTTGAGTGCGGGCTGGGTTTAGTGATCAGCTCCCAGCAAACAGTGCAGGAAGTGGTGGCATGTGATGCTCAAGGTCAGGGCCAGAAGGCCCTCTCACATCCTCTGGTCCTCTCGGATCACTTGCTCTGGGGAGTGGATGGCTGTGTCATGAGGACACCAGCACAAGGACAGGCTGGTATGGTGAGGAGCCAAGGCCCCCCACCAACAGCAGGAGACAGGGAGAATGAAGGAGAGGAAGACACAGAAAAGGAAAGGGACAGGAGGTGAAGCCCAGCATGCCTTCCTTCTTCCTTTCTTTTTCTAATGGAAACTGAAGAGGACTAGAAATCTGGATTTTGATGACTCAGGGAGAAGAGCGGGCTCTGAGAGGTCCTTGCAGCCACATACCTTGCTGAGTTCTTTCTGATATTGGGGCATCTTCTTCAGCATCTGGGACAGGTCCCGCATGGTGGTCTGTGAGGGAACAGAAAGCACACAGAGTCACTCCAGTGGCCCTGAGCTAAGTGGGCACGGGACAGGACAGCAGCCACCCTAGACTACCCATGTACTTGCTCAGTGATTCTCAAAGGGAATCTGTGGAACACAAGGTCAAGTGTGTTGGATACAAACGTCATGACCATCTTACAGGTGGGCAGCTAGCCCTCCAAATCTAGTGGATGTGTTATGACTTTTTTTTTCTTTCCTTTTTCTGAGATGAGGTCCAAGTTGCCCAGGCTGGCCTAAAGCTTGTAATCCTCCTACTTCAGCTTTCCAAATAGCTGGGACCACGATGTGTGCCACTGTGCCTGGCTTCTGCCAGGTGTCATGTTGTATTCTATGTTTGTTGGACTAGAAAGCTGAGAAGCCTGGTCTGGTGGTGCACACTTCTAACACTGATTATTTGGCAGGAATCGGCTGATGCAGGAGGACCAGCCTGGGCAACAGAGGGTGAACCTGTCTTTAAAAGAAAAAGCTGACTTGGGAGGCTGAGGCAGGAAGACCATAAGTTCCAGGTCAGCCTGGGCAACTCAGCGAGACTCTGCCTCAAAATAAAAAAAATACAAAGGACTGGAAATGTGGCTCAGTGGTAGCACACCCCCGGGTTCAACCCCAATTACTGACCGCCCACCATAAAGTCATTGAGAGTGTAATTCTTGCCAAGAAAAAATATTTTCTTCTTCCATATACTGCTTTTCTGCAGACTCAGCTCAAGCAGTCTTGGCATCAAGTTTGTGCTTCACCCCTGCACCTAGAAAGAGGGTGCAGCTGTGCAGACAGGTAGAAATACGAAAGTTACAGAGGGCTGGACGCTTCAAGCAAAATGGGTCTGTTTACTTTCCCTAGCTGTGGTGACCTCACTCATTTATCCAATGAAACCTAACTGAACTGCCGCACACCAGACACCACTAGGTGAGGAGACACAAGGGTGGGGGTGGGGGGGGCGGTTCTGTCTCCTGGATCTCCACATCCAGCAGAGGAGCCAGACAAGCCAGCGGTGGGCAGAGTGGGTCAGGCTGTTGACTGGATCCAGCAGGTGATACGGGCGCGTCAGACACACACCTGGCTGGTTTAGAGAGGCCCAGAGGTTCCCTGAGGAAACCACGTCTAAGCCCAAGAACTAGGTAAGGCCTGAGGCTCCAGAGCCCTGGAATGGCTGAAATAAGAGAGGTGGGAGCCAGAAGGCAGGAGAGGGGAGAACTGAAAGGCACTGAATGGTTTTAAGGAAGAAAGTAACACAACCAGAGCTGAACTTCAGTAAGTAAGTCCCCCTCCTTTGCCTAAGATGGGAAGGCCACCTCTGACATCAGGTTAAGGAGAGGCCTCATAAGTTGGGTTACGAATTCTAATTCCACCACGAGCTAAACAAAGTCTCACTGTTCTTCTAGCTGAAAATGAACCATGATCCCAACCAGTAAATATTTTTTTTAAAGAGAGAGAGGGAGAGAGAGAGAAAGAGAGAGAGAGAGAGAGAGAGAGAGAGAGAATATCTTTATTTGTATGTGGTGCTGAGGATCGAACCCAGCGCCGCGCGCATGCCAGGTGAATGCATTACCGCTTGAGCCACATCCCCAGCCCCCAACCAGTAAATATTAATCCACTAAATAACAAAACCCAGCTCTCTCTAAACATCAGAAGATGGGAGCTCCAGATATGAATCTCAAATGCAATAACAAGACAGAATGACATTGAAAGAGAAAAATACCACCTCGCTAACTCCCTAGTCACACACAGAGGCCTCTCCCCAGCTCCCAGAAAGAAAACTGATAGACAGGGCACTGGGCATTGGCAGGAGTTTACCTTTTCTCCAGTATTCATTCTCTTGCTAGAAGAAAAGTCTTTCAGAGACCGGGTGACTTCCCTGGAAACAGAAGGAGGCAGCTAAGTCTCAGCAACACCAAGGGCTCTGCACAGGGCACAGCAGTCAGCACCAGCCTCCTTTCACGGCTATGCGGTGACTTAGCTGCCAGAGGTGCCCCAGCTGGGTCAAAGGGCAAAGAGAAGAAAACATCAAAAGTCAGGATGGTGGTGCTGCCTGTAATCCTAGCGACTTGGAGGCCAAGGCAGGAGGACCTCAAATTTGAGGCCAGTCTAGGCAACTTAGTGAGAATCTGACCCATAGAAATGAAAGGACTGGCTGGGCACAGTGGCACATGACTGTAACCCCAGAGACTCTAGGGGCTGAGGCAGGAGGATCACAAGTTCAAAGCCAGCCTCAGCAATTTAGCAAGACCCTGTCTCTAAATAAAATACAAAAAGGGGCTGAAGATGTGGCTCAGTGGTTAAGTGCCCCTGGGTTCAATTTCCAGTACCAAAATTAAAAAATAAATTTATGAATAAGTTTATTTACTTATTTTTGGAGATGCAGCTCAGTGAGAGAGCACCTGTCTAGCATGTGTGAGGCCCTGCTTTAGTCCCCCTCACCCCCCAAAACAAAAGTGAGAGAAGAAGGCATTAAAACATCTATTCCTCTTTATTTTATCTCATTCTTTTCAAATGTGTTTGAACATACAAAATGAAATGTACACACTTTGTTTGAAAAAACACACTAACTTATATGTATGTTGCAAAATGCATATATTAGTGCAATAAAGTATATGACTAATTCATAGACAAGTTTAATTACTGAAAATGTACATTAGTAATTTTTTTTTTTTTTTTTAAAGAGAGAGTGAGAGAGGAGAGAGAGAGAGAGAGAGAGAGAGAGAGAGAGAATTTTTTTAATATTTATTATTTAGTTCTCGGCGGACACAACATCTTTGTTGGTATGTGGTGCTGAGGATCAGGGAGAGTGGTCAAGAAGATCAGGGAAGGGCCAGGGATGTAGCAATGCAGCTCGGGGTGGAGTGCTTGCCTCCCATGCCTTAAGGCCAGGGGTTCAATCCTCAGCACCACAGGGGGAAATAAAAAAGAAAGAAAGAAAAAACAAACCAAAAAGATTGGGAGATTGTTTCTGTAAACAATGGAACTAACTATCCAAAATGTCCTTCCTCATTGTGAATCTCCTGAGGATACCAACTCTCCATAGCAGAATGGGTCTTTCTAGAAAAGCAGCACTGCTAGCTAATGGTTTAAAGGTCTCGTAACAATGTTTAAATACTCAAGCATTCGGAAGCAAGGTATGGTTCAGTAGGTAGACATGAGCTCTGGCAGGTGAGCAACAGGAAGCCCGCACAGTGGGGGTGCCTGGAGCTTTCAACAAGTGAAGGAGCTTGAAATGTCTATAAAGCATTTTTCTGAGAGAGCCACAAATGCTTTCCAAGAATCCTAAAGGCAACCCTCATTCACAGCGGATTTTCTAACTTTGTGAAACTGGAATAGCTCAGGCTCAGAGAACAGAAGGAATTTGCCATTCTTGGTTAGGATATTGGCAACTTTGCTAAGGCAAGGAATTCACTCCCCTGAGTTGCTCAGAGCGTGCACATCACCCATAGTGTCAGGAAGGAGCACTAGCCAGGAGGAGGGTAGAGGGGCTCTTACTGGGACACCTCTGCGATGTGCTTGTGGCGAAGCGCTATCCACAGGTCGTCGTCCTCGTCCAGGAGCACTTCCTTTACCCGTGCCTCCCCAATGCCACTGGTCTCGTACCTACAGGAGACAGGACTCGGGTGGGTTGCTGTCCCCAGAACACTCACCCGACCATTCTGCAATGACAACAGCTTCCAGGTAATCAGACAAATGACTCATAACACGCTGACCATCTGATGGCCAGACAGGTCAGCTGTGTAGCACCAACACGGGTTGCAATTCCTCAAGCAGCAAGAGACTCCTCACTCAAAGTTTATATTACCTTGCCGAGGTTGGCTGATATGAGCTCCCCCAGAGACACCTGGTCAGGGTGTGAAGACAGATTCTACTTGGGCTTATTTATTTACTCATTTTATTTATTTACTCATTTTATTTATTTGCAGTACTAGAAATTGTACCCAGGGGTGCTCTCCCACTGAACTGCACCCCAGCCCTTTTTAAAATTTTTATTTCGAGACAGGGTCTTGCTAAGTTGCCCAGGTTGTCTTCAAATTTATGATCCTCCTGCCTCAGCCTCCCAAGTTGCTGGGATCACAGTTGTGCATCTCCACATCCAGCTATATGTTGACACAAGAGTCACCCAGAGGGGACAGGCCAAGCTCCTATTTGTGCCTCTCTAAAATGGCTAGGATGCTCTCCCTAAATGGTATCTAGCTGTCTTCTACAGGCCCTTGACATTCTGTTACACGTAGGATAGTGAACAGCTGGAAGAAGCAAGTTACAGGTACTAAAGGAAGAGCTGAGAGTTACTCATATTTTAGAACCTTCATTTTGAAACCACCATTTTTAGAAATAATGTTCAAAAAAATGACATAAAGATAATAATCTGTTTACATAAAAACAAAAATTAGTTTTTAGAAATTGAGTTTCAGCAGAGTACAGTGGCCCACACCTGTAACCCCAGCAACTCAGGTGACTGTGGCAGGAGGATCACAAGTTTGAGGCCAGCATCAGTAACTTAGGGAGACACTGTCTCAAAATAAAATTTAAAAAGGGCTGGGGATGTAGCTTGGTAGAGCACCCCTGGGTTCAGTCCACAGTACCAAAAAAAGAAAAGGAAGAAACTGAGTTTCTGATCATAGCTAGTAAGAGAAATATTTTTATAATGAAGAAAACAGGTCCATTACTAGAAAAGTCAGTAAGAAACTCCTGTTGATATATTTTATCATCATCATATCTTATGATCTGTAATTAAAAAGTTTCAGTTCTAAGTAACACACACACACACACACACACACACACACACACACACACACACACACACACCCCAATCAACCTACTACCACATCTGAGCAGGCTCTGATCTGAGGTGAAGTGATGTGAACTACAGATCTGAAGTTTCCGGGCTGCCCAGAAGGGGCATGCATTCTGCCTAGAAATGCCCCGTGGATCTGGGAAACCACACAAAAACTTATAGGCCTATTAGAAAGACTAGACCAATGCACCTGCTTTTCCTAGGCTTACAAACATTTTTTCCCTTAAGTTAGAGGTATTCCTAGTTCACGTGCAAAGTTATGGTCACTCTAGAGTCTGTAACACTTTACTTACTTGTAAACGTCATTTTCAATAGGCAGCAGGTCGTAACTCATGGCCTGAAAAGTCAACTCATGAAGCACAGGGGAGCTAGGGTCAAAGCCCCGATCCAGGATCAGCAGCTGGGAGCGTGCCTTGTCAGGACCCTGGGGGCAAACAAGGAGATGTTTCAAGGGCCACTCAGACAGCTAGAACTTCCCCAATTAGCAGAGCCCAGCTTGTCAAGGGTGCAGCAGGAAGAACTCCAAGAAGCAGCCCTACTAAAACAGCACCAGTCTGCTTGCTGCTTGGCAAGAACACCAACACTCCAGGGACACTCTAATATTTCTATTCCATGGTGAGAGCCTGGGAAGCAGATCAGAATCTGGCTGGAGGCAGAAGTGAGTTTGTGGAGGACAGCACTCTCCAGGTTCAGCTACAATGGGTGATCAAGCATCCAGCTGGGACTAAGCAGTTCCCTGAACCCCAGACTTTCTGTTTTAGATACAAAGTAGTGATGAACAACTCTGCATGTTGTTTTGTGTGGGGTGGGAAGGACAGGGCAGGAAGGGCCCTCAGGGTCCTGTACATGCTAAGCTTGTGCTGTACATTGGTCTATGTTCCGGGTCCCCAGCTCTGCATCTTGACTGCAGTGGTTGTGACACACATCTGTGCGTGTATTAAACTGTATCAGGGCTGTGCACACACAGAGCACATGCAAAAGCTAGTGAAATCTGAATGGGTTCAGAAGATTGTACCAATATCAACTTTTTGCCTTTGTTACTGTACTACTACTAGGGGATCTCCAGATGAGGACATTCAGTGTTGAAACTGCAAAAGTCCTGGTGAACAGAAGCAAGTTGGTCATCCTGGCTATGTAGAACATAACCTGGGCTCCCAAGGGCTTTGGACATGTCACTAAAGGCCGACATACAGAAAGAGCAGCCCTCACATGTCTGTGAGCAAGAGTACTGCATCATCCCTTGGACTTTCACATAAACACTGGTCACTTTGTAAGATAACCTCCTGGCCCAGGCCCAGACTTACTTCCCCCATGGTTGGATCATCAGCTTTATAGGCGTCGAGTTTGTCCTGGATTAGTTGAGCCAGCAAGGCATTGTCCTTGTACTCCCTGACAAAAGAGGAGGAGCAGAGGTGAACCACCTGGGGACTAGGTGAGGCACTAATGGCCCAGGAAGGATGCAGGATGGCACAGGGAGGGTAGGAAATGTGTAAGCATGGTCAGTGCTGGGTTTTTACAATAAAAATACATGCAGATACTACAAGTATATAAAAAGGAAAAGTAAAATGCTTGCTTCGGTACCTAAACAAAAAAAAAGTGATTTCCTTATTTCGTCTTTTTTTTTTTTTTAATTTTTCTTTTAGTCGTCAATGGAACTTTATTTTATTTATTGATACGTGGTGTTGAGAATCGAACCCAATGCCTCACACATGCTAGGCAAGCACTCTGCCACTGAGCCCCAGCCCAGCCCTTATTTCTTCTTTTTTAAAAACTGTCTAGATGGAGCAGAAGCCCAGGTAAACAGCCACACTTCCAGACGGGCCCGGCTACTCCCACTCCCGTGATCAGGACGTCTGGGCCTGACTTGCATGACTCTCACTTCTCTTGATTCAAACTCTACTGGGTCTTGTTTGGTTTGGCTGGTAAGTGGCATGTATGTTCACACAACCAGGGTGACAGCAGTGCCTGGTCTCAGACCTTTCTGCCTGGCTGAGCGTGAAACACTCTCTGGGCTCCCCCTGGCTTTGTAGGGAGTTGGCTAATGTCACCTTTGCCAACCTCAGGACCATGGTGGCCCTGTTCCCCACCTAGGAGAGAGTGCTGAGGCAGGCTCTGCAGTGTAGACCCCTAAAGATGGGAAGCCAGGCGCTGGGGCAGCCCCGAGGTGCTGTCCATGGCCACCTGTACCCGCCGAGGATGAAACAAAAAGGACAGGCGCACGTCTGAGCCTCAGCCCCCTAGCTCTGTTGGGCCTCGGCCTCACGCCCATGCTGCTTGCAGCCTCTGAGTTGCAGGCCCCACTGCCTGGGGTCCCATCCTCACCCTCCTCCCTTCCACTCCTCACTCCAGGCCCTTCACTCCTGCAGTGGCCCTGCTCTGCTCTCCTGGCTTCTCTGCACCCGTCTGCCCCTCAGCCCTGCTATCAGGCTTCCAAAGCACTGCGACTGCTCCCTATCCCAATCCCCAGATATCCCAGGGAAGCCACTGAAGGACACAGTCCCACACCTGGGCTTTCAGGCCTCCAGAAATGGCTTTCTCTATCTGAGTACTCTACATATGCACCATGCGGACCTGCAAGCTTCCCCATGCCGGCCTTTGCCTTCCCAACTCCAAGCTTCTGCTTATGCCAACGGCAAGAACCAATCGCCCTCTCTCCATCCGTGTGAGATCTGAACCTGTCCTTCAAGATGCGCACATACATCACCACTAGCCTGTGGTTGGCCAGAAAGGTCCTGAGCACCTGGCGGGTGCTGTGCTCAGGTGCTGGCCTCACGGGGCTAGGTGCAGGAGTGCACACCTGTACTCACCTTACCTACCCAGGGTTCTAGGGCTGTGGCTGAATCTTCAGCACAAAGCAAGTAAGTGGATGAATGAATGACCTCATAAAATCTGAGAAGAGTGTCCTTAGGAGAATTATTTTCTCAGTATTGCATCTTACTCTCAAATACCTCTACAAACATAATATTGATTTTTAGAGCCTAGAAAGAAATTGAAAACTGGGAAACTCAGGCTGCAGGCGCACAGAGCTTACACTTTAGTTATTTGATAGCTAAATATATGTACATACTGTGCTCTTTTCTGTATGCATTATATTTCAGAATACAATTTGAAAGATAAAACCTTTAGAAGAATGATCTTAAGAGGGAGATGCTTAAACTTGACCTTCTGAGACAACTGCTAGAGGATACATGAGACCAGAGGAAGACTCGGAGGCGCGCCTCGCAGCCATGCAGGATGCCTGCCCAGCAGTCAGGTGTGCCTTACCCCCGATACCGCACAGCTGGGTACTCCTTCAAGGTGGCACACAGGGTTGCAATCTGCTCTGCCAGGCGCTCTAGTATAGGATTCTTCATCTGAGCTTTGTGGGGACTATAGAAGCTTTGGAAAGAGTCAGCAGAGTCCAAGGAATATACCTGGGAGGAGAAAACAATGCACTTGGCATGTGTGTCTTGAAGGGCGAGCCGCAGGAGTCCCGCCACACTGGCGGTGAATTTGCAGGACATGTTTTCATTTCCTCCAGCGCTAGGCACCACACTAAACATTTGGGAGCTACGAGCGACCACAATATCCTTGTCCTCAAGGAGTTTTAAATCTAGGAGGGGTGTCGGGGGGAGCAGATATTAAGCAGAATGAGAAGGAAACTGCACGGTATCGAGAAGCTGATAAATGCATGAGAAAATAAGACAGCAAGGAAGGAATGCCCCGGACGGGGAGGACACGTGGACTCATGGAGAAGGGACAGCCTACTCAAGGCTTGAAGAAGTGGGGTGTTCATCACCAGCAGGAGACTTCCCAGGGGCAGGAATGGGTGGTACCCCAGACCTGGGGCAGAGGTGCACCTAATGTGTCTGAACAATGACAAGCCAGGAGAACAGAAGAGGGGGCTATAAGATCTCAAAGGCCATTGTGGATTTAAAGTTTTAAAAATTCTTTTAGTTTTTTTTTTAAATACACACTCACACACACACATATATATTAGTTGTCGTATTCATTTATTTATATGTATTGCTGAGAACTGAACCCAGTACCTTACACGTACTAGGCAAGTGCTCTACCACTGAGCCCGAGCCCCAGCCCCAGCCCTGCATTTGGTTTTAACAAATAAATCACAAGCTAGAAATTGTGCTGAGACTGTGAGCGAATGAATGAGGTTTTTGGTAAGTATAATAATATCCTGTCCTCAGTAAAATGTTTTATTTTTATTTATTTATTTATGTTTGTACCACAGATTGAACCCAGGGGTGCTCTATCACTGAGCTATATCCCCAGACCTTTTTATTTTTTTTATTTGAGATTGGACTTGAACTTGTGATCCTCTTGCCTCAGCCTCCTGAGTAGCTGGGATTACCGGCATGCACCACTGTGCCTGATTCCTTTTATTTTTTTTTAAAGGGTCCCAGGAGTTTGAAATTCATTTCTAATACTACTGAGCCTAATAGCTATCATTATTCTCACAAATCTTCATTTATTTAAACTATCTTGATCTTCTTTGGAGAGTTATTTTTAAAAAGGTCTATTACTTTCTTAAAGCTTCTGAAATATAATATTGTTGGACAGGCTGAAGCTGGACTTTGTCCAATCTAGGTGGTGACAGGACTCATGCAGGGAACAAAAATTGCTGCTCTGAAGCAGGAAACAGGCTTCAAACCAAGTGAGAAGGGACTAAGACCAGCTCTAAATGTTTGTGCTGTCTTTTCCATTCCTCCTTTTCTAAAATCAGGTCACTCTCTTGTTCTGGAAGCTGCTGTATAAAGATCCAATATGCTATAATCATCTCCTGTCGCCATAACAACATAAAGGTCTGTTGGTTTTGGTTCTTTGTCTGCTGCAAGACATTTTAAGAAGATATGTTCTTTCACAACCAGCTTCAGCTTTACTGGTTTAACAACTTTGTTTTCTTCCAAGAGGAGAAGTTTGCTGCTGTGGCCTTTGGTGAGTGAAGGGTTAACAGTTACTCAGGTCACCATCTGTTCTTGCACGTGACCAGGTGATGCTATCTCCAATACAGCCTCTGCAGCAGATGGGATCCTCTGATCTGCCCCCCTCCTGCTAGGTTCTTTTAGGACTGGCTACTTGTGGTTATTTAAGGAGTCAGCCAAGATGAGTGACCACTGGGCAAGGAGGAAATGCACACAAAGAAAGGCTTGAGGCTGACAAAAAAGTGGCGCCTGTGGATAACCGCTTCCATTAAATAAACATCCATACGTAATAGTCACGCGGCCACCTGAACAGGAGGCCAACCCTCCCCCACTCCATCACACTGCCCGCCCTCCCAGAGCTCCAGATAGAATAATCAGCAAGCAGATTTTCTGCTCAGCCTCACCTGGGATTCATATGGGAGAAACGCAATGTTGATTTCCGTCAGCGTTTTGATGACTTTGGCTGCTCGAGATTTTACCAGCTCGTTAAACAGGGCATCTGGGCAAGCTGCAGGAATGACAGGGACAGTCGGGTTTCCTGGGCAGTGGCTGGTTCATTTAACAGCTGAATGTGTCCAATAGATGCTTCATTTTATTCAGGTTTTTAAAAGGCAATTAGAAAGTTCATGCCATCCTAAAATATTCCATACCTCTAGGGTATAGAAGGATGGAGACAGGAAGAGCTAACAAAAACTGCTTTCTGATCCCAAGGAAAGAAACCAGAAGTGATTAAGAAGGGAGAAGGAAAGGTCTTTAATGTAAATAAGCACCTCACATCTAACCTATTTATGATAAACAAAATAAGAAAGAAAAGAAAATTTGTGGGAAACATGATACAGGCATCGCCCTCAGGACTGCTGAGAAGTCGGCAGATGGGAAGGAACCATGACGTCTATGTGTCTCCCAGGCCTAACTAAGGCTTCCTGTGCCCAGAAACACGTCATTGGCTTAATATTATTAATGCCATTTCCTTGCTCCCTTTGCTAATGATATTCAAGTACTATATATAAGGTAATTTCTTGCTATAACTTTTCCATTTTCTCGGAGGTGATTTTAGGGGGTCTCCTTAGAGAGAAGAGCAGGTGAGGTCTTGCTGTTTTATACTGTTCTACTCTTCTCTCATAGCTTCTCCAGTGGGATCTATGTCCAAACCAGCACAAAATAAGAAAGCCAACTTTAGAGCAATGAGGTAGATTCTATCTAATATAAGACCACTCAATCAGAATCTCTCTGTGGTTGAAAAACTAATGGAAATTTACTGCAGGATACAGTGCTACCTACAAGTCTGTGGCTGAAATGCCAAGGATAGCATCAGGAAAATTCGAGGCTCCAAGCCCTTTGTACTTGGAGGAGGTTCTGAGTGAGCCGTTTCCCGAAGGAGGAAATGCAGGATCTAACAGGTGTGTATTTGTGTGTGTTTATTTTTGTTACTTTGCAATTTATTATCTGAAGAAAAAATGAAAGGTTGGGAAAACCATAGCAACAATTAATTTCTTCCCTACAGCCAGGCACAGTGGCACATGCCTGTAATCCCAGCAGCTCAGGAGGCTGAGGCAGGAAGATAGCAAGTTCAAAGCCAGCCTCAGCAACTTACTGAGGCCCTAAGCAATTTAGTGAGACCCTGCCTCAAAATAAAAAAAAATAAATAAAAAGGGCTGGGGATACTGGTCAATGGGTAGAACACCCTGGGTTCTATCCTCAGTACCTCAAAGAAAACAAAACAAAAACATTCCTAAAACCTATTGGCCTGACCTGGCTGGGTTCAGCCAAATGAGCTCCCCTGTGCAGCGGGGGCAGCCCTCGGGGTACTTACAGTCAGTGAAGAAGACATGTGCAGCCCGGTACTTAGCAGTTGGTGGGTCCTTAAAGTCACTGATGAGAGAGTGGACAGACTGTGGACAGGAACAAAAGAGGGCACTAAATCCAATTCTAGAAGCAAGTGGGACCAATATCTGAACTGAGCTCAATTCAAGCTGGCTTCAAGCTACTTGCACAAAATAGCGGGGGGTTTGGGCGTATGATTCTAACACTCACATTCAGCCACAGCCAGATTTTGAGGATTTAAAATTAGGATTATTTCAGAGTTTAGCTCAGTCCAGAACGAGTGGCAGTGTCACATAACATGGATTCCTGAGAAGAGACTCACAAAACTGATGAGGACCCTTGGAGGACACGAACAGCTGCACCTGCAGACTCACAGGTGAGTCAGTTTTCAAAAGTGAAAACTGGAGGGGAATTTTTTTTATATACATCAAGAGACCCAAGACAATTATCAACCAAAAGCAAGGAGGTGGACCTTATTTGGATGCTGATTTGAACACTTATGAGACAGGTAAATCTGAACACTAACTGGGTATTGATGAAATAACCCTGAAAACATGCACTCCCAAGTCTGGCGGGAGTGTGCCTGCCTGAAGAGGGAGTGCAGGGGACACGAACGACCCAGGGCCTGGAATGCCAGCTTCGGCTTGCTGCATAACTGCCATATTTCAAAAGGTTTAACAAACTCTTTACTTCTCTTTGTACAAACACACCCTCCCCGCCCCCTTGATGGATTGCATGCATAAACAGAGCAGTGTGTTAAATGCATGCTTAACCTAGAAATGTCAGACACTCTGTGCCACAGAGATCTATAAGGACTCACCTTCTCAGATGGGGTGATGAGGTACACAGCCTCCAGGCTGGGGAGTGGTTCTCTGCGCTTGTTAATGTCTTCCACAACTAGGCAACAAAACAGCCCAGGTGAATAAGGAAACACGACTGGCGGTCATGAAACTAGAAGCAATATAGACTGACACAGTCAAAGTCTATAGTAGGGTGGGTGGGGCTCAATGGCAGGGCGCTTGCCTAGCATTTGTGAGGCCCTTGGGTTCCATCCCCAGCACCGCCAAATCAAGAAAAGAAAAGAAAATCTAGAGTAAGGGGAAAGAAAAAGAATCGTTCACCCCTTCCTTAAAGTCACCACATTTCTTGGGAGTGCATTCCACCGGTTCACTATGCCTAAGATGTTAGAAAGCCTGAAATCGTGCCACACTACATATCTCCCACTCTGCATTTCAGTTCAATTCCTTGATCTGTTGTGAGGGAAATGGAAAAGGCCACTCATCTGTTGAGAATGGTTCTTTGCTTCTTCCTTCAGTTTTTTCTCATCTGTCCTAAATAATCGCGATTCCTTTAGAATCTCCCTGCTGGGTTTGTCAGTAATTGGACAGCCTTGTCATCCTCCTCTGCACATCGGATAAAGCCCTCCAAATACATCCTCCGCACAGCACTCAACAGTTCAGAACCAGACACTGTTTGTTAAAGCCAGCTGTTGGGTTTTGATTTCCTTGTTTCCTTTATGGTCATTTTAGCTACTTTGGGGGCATCTTCGCCTCATCTGTCACCTGATAAAGCTTAGGGGGAGTTTACCTATGCTGCGACATCCTCTAGCATGGAGAGAACAGTACAGCTGTGTGGCTGTTGTTCTTCATGCAGATGATTTAAGTGAAAAAAGGCATCACTTCAGAAGTATACCTTGTGGCATTTACAAAGACTTTCACATCATGTTAAAATTAATTCCCTAGCCAGGCAGAGTGGCCCACGCCTGTAATCCCAGCGGCTCAGGAGGCTAAGGCAAGCGGATCACGAGTTCAAAGCCAGCAGCAGCAACTTAGCAAGACTCTAAGCAATTTAGTGAAACCCTGTCTCTAAATAAAATACAAAAGACAGCTGGAGATGTGACTCAGTGATTAAGCACCCCTGGGTTCAATCCCTGGTACCACAAAATAAAAAATCAATCACCCAAACATTTACTTTGCCAGTAGTTGTAGAGTATTAAATTTCACAGGCTACTAAGACTTCCTCCAAAAATATTTGGAGTCTCAACACAGGGTTATGAACTTTTGAATTTTGCTAAGTAAGGATACTGTTTGAGACCCACCTTTAGGGGTAGGGGAAAGCTGCATACGGTGGGGGAGGTGAGGTGTCTTCTACCACAGGAAGTCAACAGACAACATCAACATTGACAAATCCAGAGATACCAGCATAAGAATTTATTTAGGAATATGTATGTTTAAAAAAAAGTAAATAGGGCTGGGGTTGTGGCTCAGCAGCAGAGCGCTCACTTAGCACGTGCAAGATGGTGGTTTCAATCCTCAGCACCACATAAAAATAAATAAAATAAAGGTATTGTGTCTAAAATAACCAGAAGAAAGAGTAAGGCAGCAGCCAGCAGCCCCCGGATGACAGGCCTGGGGCATGGAGGTGGGGCGGCAGGATGTGCTCTTCTCTGCTGAAAGTCTTGGTGAGCTGGGCCTTTCTTATGACAGAAGAAAAAGTAGGGGTGTTTGGTTGGAGTTTGTGTGAGATGGGGTCTCACTATGTTGCCCAGGCTGGTCTCAAGCCCCTGGGGTCAAGTGATCCTCCTGCCTCAACCTCTTGAGTAGCTGGGACTACAGGTACATGCCACCATGGCCAACTGAGAGAATAAATAGTTTTAAAAATTTATTGAGGAAAATAACTTTGTAAGCTCAAAATCAAGGCATGCCTGGCCTTAACATGGACATGGTCCCCAGATGACATAAAAATACTATAAAAAGCATGTGCTCCGGGGGGGATGGGGTGGTGGTTCAGTGTTAAGAGTACCTGTCTAGAGAATGTGCAAGACACTGGGTTCGATTCTCAGCACCTCATATAAATAAATAAAATAAAGGTCTGTTTGACAACTAACTAACTAAATATATGTGTGTGTATATATATATATATATATTTTTTTTTTAAAGCCATGTGTTCCCTCATCAACACCCACAAGACATTATTACCATAATTTCACAAATTAAGAACTTTTTTGTTCCAGCCTTTTTTGTTTTTTTGATAGGGTCTCACTGAGTTGCTTAGGGCCTTGCTAAGTTGTCAAGGCTCGTCTTAAAATTGCAATTGTCCTGTCTCAGCCTCCAGAGCTATTGGGATTACAGGCCTATGCTACCATGCCCGGCACAAATTAAGGACATTTTAACATCATAAATAGGGAAGATAAGACTTGGCTTGGGCTTGATGACAAATGCCTATAATCTCAGTTATTTCTAGCGTGGGCAGCTTGGCAAGACCCCATCTCGAAAAACCAAAACAAACAAAAAAACCTGACATAATCTTAGAATAAAGAACAGACCTTAAAAGGAAATAATTAAATTCAATTAGTTTAATGCAAAACTCAACCCTCCTACTTTTCTTCCTTTAACTGGGGTATGGTGATAATTTTAAGACCTCCAATGGTCTGTGTGCTACACATCACACAAAGGTGCCTGCCTCCAAGGGAAAAAAATCAGGAGACACATTGCAACAGTCGTACCACTGATATTGACATTCTAGCTTGGAATAATACCTTGAAAGAGGTTGCTTTTCCTTTCAGGAATTTCATCGACTGATTGGTTATGGTGCTGCAGACTGTACACAAGGCCGCGGGCATGCTCACTCTGTGCTCTACCACGGAGCTACAGCTGCAGCCCAAGAGACTGCTCAATCAATGCTGTTTGAAAGATTAAAACACAATGCTTCTTGAAAGGAGCCTTGGGGAAGAGTAGAGCTGCACAAATGTGAACAAGAGCTCTGGAACAGGAGCCAGAAGGTCTGCGTCCTTGCTCTCAGGTGTGACTCTGGCTAGTGACCCTAGGCAGGTCACGGGACTTTTTCTTTTTCCTCCTACTACCAGGGATTGAACCCAGGGGTACTTAGCCACTGAGTCACATCCTCAGCCCTTTTATTTAGAGACAGGGCCTTGCTAAGTTGCTGAGGCTGGCTCTGGACTCATGATCCTTCTGCCTCAGCCTCCCAAGTCACTGGGATTATAGGTGTGTGCCACCGTGCCCAGGTAGATGATACAATTTTAAAAAAAAAATCTATTTATTTGGCTAGGCACAGTGGCACAAACTTGTAATCTCAGTAACTTGGCAGGCTGAGACAGAAGAATTGCAAATTCAAGGCTAATCTTAACAACTTAGCAAGACTCTGTCTCCAAAATTAAAAAGGACTGGGTAAGTAGCTCAGCAGTAGAACCTTCTGAGTCTAATCCCCAGTCCCACAAAACAAATAAACCAAAAAAGCTATTTCTTGGAAAAAATTATGTTATGTGCATATATGAATATAGCATAACAAATCCCATTATTATATAACTATAATACACCAATAATAAAAATTTTAAAACCTATTTATTGTGAAATTATAATACTCTAAGAATGAATTAAACATAAACAAGGAATAACTGTAATGTGAATGTCTATATACACACTGCCCCAATTAAAAGAACCTTGCCAGTGTGGCAGAAGTGCCCTCTCCCCACGCCCCCTCCCTTCCCTCCAAAGAGAGCCGCCATCCTCACTGGCATGGGAGCGCTGTCCTTTACCACCTCCGTTTGCGTTCCAGCACGGCACAGCACTCTGCACTTAGCACTGTCCCGTCTTGAACTTTACATACAGGACAATGCTGGGTGAGCACTCCTCTGTATCTTGCTTCCTTTGCTCCACACTCTTTATCAGATTTACTCATGCCATGGAGCAGAGTCGGTCTGTTTTCATTGCTGTACAGTGTTCTGCTGTGTGACTACACTCCACCTCAACTTATTTAACCATTCTGCTTTTTTTTTCTTGTGGTGCTGGGGTCCAAATCCAGGGCCTTGCACATTTAGCCACTTTACTTTCAAAGGACATTTTGGCTGCATCCATTTGGGGCTCCTGTGCGTGTGTCCTGGGTACTCACCCCTTGGGCTTGCTGGCTCACAGGACCACACCCCTTCACCTTTACTGAGCATGGTCAAGGGTTTGTCAAGGTAGCTAGACCAATGGACATTCCATCATTCAAGAGTTCCCATTGTCCTACCTCTTCACTGTCACTGGACATTATCAGAGCTTAAGTATTCTAATCTGGTGAGCCTATGTGGTATCCCACTCTGGTTTGAGTGGCATCTCCCTGGTCATTAGAGGAGGTGGGCACTTTTCATGTATTTATTGGCTGAGTGGATTTCTTCCTTTGTTTAGTGTCCATTCTAATCTTTCTTCTTGATATAACCTTTCTTTGGGCATTCCTTTAACTGATACTTAATGAGCATCTAAAACTGCATTAGTGCTAGGCAGTCAGTGTTAAAGAGGCAGCTGTGGGTCACTCTTGGGGCCTGCCTTACAGTCTTGCCACACAGGTTGTTGGAAGCACCAAAGGTCAAACAAGAATAGCGAGTAGGTCCTTGGTTTATTTATACCCAAAGGACTTAAAATCAGCATACTACAGTAACGCAGCCACGTTAATTATAGCAACTCAATTCACAATAGCTAAACTATGGAACCAACGTAAGTGTCCTTCAATAGATGAATGATAAAGAAAATGTGGTATACATATTCAATGGAGTATTACTCAGCTTTAAAGAAGAATGAACTATGGCATATGCCAGTAAATAGATGGAGTTGGAGAATATCATGCTAAGCAAAATAAGCCAATCTCAAAAAACCAAAGGTCAAAGTTTTCTCTGATATGTGGATGCTAATTCACAATAAGGGGTGTGTGGCACTAGAGAAGAATAGAGTTACCTTAGAGGGAAGTGAAGGGAGGGAAGGGAAGGGAGATAGGAAGGATAGTAGAATGGAACAGACATTATCACTGTATGTATATATGTGACTGCAAGACCAATGTGATTCTACAACATGTACACTCAGAAAAATGAGAAATTAGGTCCCATCTATGTATGATATATCAAAGTGCATAAATGCATTCTACTGTCATGTATAACTAATTAAAACAAAACAAAACAAAAAAGAATAGCAAGTAGGAAGGAGTAAAGCACGCCCCAGGGAAGGCAGAGGTCAAGTGCAACTCGAGTGAGAGACAGCGCTGTGCTCACTTGTTATTCCTTCAGTCATGATGTCCGTCATCTTGCAACAGGAGGAGAGCATCCTCATGCTTAGCTGGTCCACCACCAGCACCTGAAAGAAAAGAGAATAGCTTGTGGTGTCTGCTAGGAGTCTCGCCAGCTTGCTGCATCAGGCTTCACAGAGAGCACCTGGAGTACGGAATGTGGGAGGAGCCACATTTCCTGTGGACCACAAGTCTGCAGAGTCCCACATCCAAACTTGACCTTCTAGGAGTCAGCATCTGCTCTCACCAACTTGACTTAATTTCAAAAACTTTTAAAAAGTAGTATCCTTTCCAGCTAGGTATGGTGATGCAGGCCTATAATTCCAGCTACCCAGGAGACAGAGCCAGGCAGATCACAAGTTTGAGGCCATCTTGGGCAACTTAGTAAGACCCTGTCCCATAATAAGAAATAAAATAAATAAAAAGGCTGGCTATGTAGCTCATAGGTAGAGTGCTTGCCTAGCAAGCACAAGGCCCTGGGTTCAATCCCCAGCACTGGAAAAGAAAAAAAAGTAGTAGAAAATAAGTACTTGTAAAAAAAAATACAAAAAAGAAAAAAGAAAAGTGTTGGGGGTTATCATCTGTAGTGCTAACACTCAGAGATAATCATATTAGTGAGTATTTTTCAGGGCACAGCTTATTCTTTGTTTGTAGGAAAGGGGTACCAGGGATTGAACCCAGGGCCACTTACCATTGAGCCACATCTCCAGCCCTTTTAATTTTTTATTTCTTTTCTTTTCTTTTTTTTGTTTAAACTCAAGCTTTTAAAAAAAATTACATATTTGTAGACGGACAGCATGCTTTTATTTATTTATTTTTTATGTGGTGCTAAGAATGGAACCCAGTGCCTCACACATGCTAGGCAAATGCTCTGCCACTGAGCTACAGCCCCAGCCCTTTCTTTTTTATTTCAAGTCTGGATTTCGCTAAATTATTGAGGCTGGACTCAAACATGCAATCCTCCTTCCTTAGCCTCCCAAGTTGCGAGGATTATAGGCAGGTGCCACCCACCACACCTGGCCAGAACCTATTCAATTCTATTTATTTATTTATTTATTTTCCAGGAGGACTCGGGACTGAAAAGTCAGGGGCACTCGACCACTGAGCCACATCCCCAGCCTTATTTTGTATTTTATTTAGAGACAGGGTCTCAATGAGTTGCTTAGTGCCTCGCCATTGCTGAGGCTGGCTTTGAACTTGTGATCCTCCTGCCTCATCTTCCTGAGCTGCTGGGATTACAGGTGTGTGCTACCACTCCCGCCTTAGCCTATTCTTAAGAGAGAGAGATCCTAGAGTCCACACGTATGGCATGGCACATAAGGACTCTGTCTAGACTGGAAGAACAGGAACAGCATTCCCATCCTGCTCTGTGCTTCACCCTGCAACGCTCAGCTGACCCTTCTCATCCCCGTTCAGGCCACAGTGGATACAGGAAGCCATAAGTTAAAACAAGGCAATTTATCTTCTCCTTAATGATGTCAGCTGAGAAGGAAGCAATGAAAGCCGGGCACATCAGGGCAGATGTGTGGACCCAAGAGCTCTCTCCTGCAGTACAAGGGCCACTTAGTTTCATTTTCTTCCTTAAGAAAAGCTTAAACCCCACATGTCTACAAATCCATTTCTGGTGGGAAGGTAAGAGAAAGAGATGTGCATACAGAGTCCCTCTAGCTGGCCTCCTCTCTGGGTGGTGAGAACAGATGTGTTCACTAAAGCAGAATAACACGAGGCCAGAGTGGGCTTCAGAATTTCTTGTACCAAGTGGCTCTGTTTTTCCCAGGTCTAGTGAACCTGAACATGTATGGGCTCTTGACCATTGGCAACTTGAGGGCAGAATAGCCAGTGTAAACCACATGAGGAAGATCAAGTAAAATGGCACACTCTCCTGGCCAGCATGAGGACCAGCTCCAGTCGACTAAGCAACATTTACAATGCTGACAATGTGCTGGGTGTGGTGGCGCACACCTATGAAACCAGCTACTTGGGAGGCTGAGGCAGGTGGATGTCAAATTTTTCCCCAGCCTGAACAATTCAGTGAAATCCTGTTTCAAAATACAACTTAAAAAGGGCTGGGGATGTAGCTCAGTAGTATAGTGCTCTCCTAGCTTGCACAAGGCTCTAGGTTAAATCCCCAGCACTACAAAATAAATAAATTAATAAAAATAAAGATAATACAATGCTGGCAACATGCACAAAAGACAGCACAGCCATTCCAGGAACCCAGGCCATTTGCAGTCTCGTTGGCTTCAGTACTTGCTCCCGTGCGTGTTATAGTTTCTAGTCCTGTGCTCGCTGCATTATGATCCATTCTATGTAGTTACAGCTCAAAGGGAAAGAGCAGACTAAACGGGGGCTTCTCTACCTGTTGTGTGGGCTCCTGGAGATGCTTTATAGCCACCAAACGAGTAAGAGGAGTCTCTTTCTCCTCTCCCATAGAACACGGAACAAATGCACCTTCCATTTTATCTAACAGGTTCCGGTTGAGATTTTGTTTGATAAAAGAGTTCCACTGCTCACTGCCCGGCCAGGTGATCTTTTTCTTTTTTGCGCTGCTGGGGATCAAAGCCAGGGGTACTCCACCACTGAGTCACATCCCCAGCCCCTTTTTATTTTTATTATTTATTATTTTTATTTTGAGACAGAATCTCACTAAGCTGCCCAGGCTGACCTTGAGCTTGTGATGCTTCTGCCTCAGCCTCCTGAGTCACTGGAATTATAGGCGTGCGCCACCATGCCCAGCACTGACTAGGTGATCTTTACAATAAGCTTTACAACCAATAGATTCTGAACCAAGACCCTATAAAATGGAAGGCAGAGCAGGTCAACTTCTCCAATCCAGGAGCTTTTTGCACCTCTGGTGACAGTAAGAGCCCTCATTCGTGTCAAAACCTTCCCTCTAGCTCTACTACCCTTCTTATTTTTCCCTTATGAATTCACTTTTAGGGCTGTTTTACTTACCTTCCACTCCCCCTTCTTCTTCACCTTCTTTATCACATCATGCATGATCTCTAAGGAGGGAGGGAGGGAAGGAGGGAGGGAGAGAGGGAGAGAGGGGGAGGGAGG